GAGAAACATGCAAAACGGGACGGAAAACATGAAATTTTGCAATAATCTTGCGCCACCCTTGCACAAAACGACGATCATTTTTCTAATTTCATAATACATCCCCCCTTGACTTTAAAGCTGGATCCGCCCCTGGATGTTAGCCGACGATAAAAAGTAGCGTTTGCATCTCAGCCAGCCAGAGCTTTAGCTTAGATAACGTTACATGCAATCAGTTCATATATTTATTTGAAAAGCCACGATAACGGATTAGAAGTTGATGAATCGCAGTCCTGAACAGCATGGAAGCTCTGAGATTTACGGGCAGCACGAAGATATTGGAGTATGTCCAGGTGCCAGTACCGGAAATTTCGGCACCCGATCAAGTGCTGATTAAGGTTGCCTTTTCCGGTGTCTGTGGTACGGACCTCCACATTATAGCGGTGAGTCTCTATCACCTTTGTTAACACAGATAAAGAATCACTTGAATTTACAGGGAGAGTTTCCTATGTCCAACAAGGGCACGAAAATTTTGGGTCATGAATTTTCCGGCACCATCGTCAAAGTGGGCTCGGCAGTGAAGAATGTGCGAGTCGGAGACCGGGTTACGGTCGATCCAAACGAGTAAAAAATGTCAATGAATTGCACTCGATATGCACAGTAAAAATCATTTTCCAGAGGATGCCGTTGTTGCGACTTTTGCCACTCGGGCAACCCCCATTACTGCAACATTGGAGGCATCCACAACACCGTTGGTATTCACCGAGATGGTGGGTGGGCCACTTATGCTCTAGTGCCCACTAATTTGGTACAAAAATTACCCGAATCCATCACTCTGGAGCAAGGTGAGAGGTGAATGCATTTCGCTAAAAAACGGCAGAAATGTATTTTCTTTTTTGTCCCGAATTCGACGCTGATTTTTCGAGTAAAGGAACTCCAGATCGTCAGTATTTTTAAGTGAAACTCTACAAAATAGAGCGTTTTTGAGTGGAAACTAAAGCAAAAAGTCAGTCAAAACTAAAAAACCACATTTTTTTAACAAGCGAAAATTATTTGATTTTTGTCCCAAATTCGAAGCTGGAAAGGGATTGCAAAACYTTTTACAAAAGCGACGAAGGAGGCGAGTGTTCCAATAAAAGGAGTTTCATAATTTTTCGCGAAAAATACCTTAAGATTGTCAGTATTTTTAAGTGATTATTTTGAAAATTGAGCATTTAGAAAAAAAGAGTGACTGCTAAAACTGGAAAATTCTGAAATTTTGAAGAAGCGTTAGAAATATTATTGATATATTGATTAGTTGAGAGATCGCCGATTTCGTGTTAAAAAAGTACCGGAATCTACCATTGCGCCACTGCGGCGGGCACCCCGAACTATGACTCCGTTGAAGCCAGAGACAAGGGATAACATTTTTTGATAATAGAATTTTGTAAGAAATTTACCCTGGTGGCAATCCAAACTAGTTTGGTAGTAGGAATTCGCCATTTTCACTTTTCAGAACATTTTTCTTAGTCAGCTATCTAACAATATTAAAACGTTTTTTCTAACCTTTTTCCAGTAACAAATCTGGGTTAGTGTAACTACAGTATATTACGATACAAGAGACGAAAGTCGAAGTTCCGCCACTGCTTCAAGTTGATGCACTTGAGTCAGGCACGCAGTGGCGGGCCTTCGACTTTATTCTGGCCCCGTATACTATTTTTGTTGATCTTCGGTGGAAATTAGTTAAAAAAAGGATAAGGCTTTGACAAACACGGCTTTGAAAATGTTGTCAAACAGTCAGTGTTAAACAGCGAAACTTTCAACGTGCGTGGCTAAAGTTATTACTTTCCACACGGGATGACGAAAATTTAAACGCACAAAGCGTTATTAATTACTTTGCTTACTATGCTGGGTTCCTATGCCTGTGTGGCATCGACAAAATTGCCTCCAACAGAGTGAAATGATTTCTTGTCTCTGGTTGAAGCAGCGTAGGAGAGGTAAGGCCCATTTTCATCAGAAAAAGGCCCATTTTCATCAAGCGATCTTAAACCAGTTTAACGTCTGAAACTGAGTTTGACGCGCGAACCGGATTTTGCCAGAACCTTAAACTTAGTTTGTGCTTAAACGCGTTTAAAGAAACGAACTGGCCGATTTTGGGCGTTTATAGCTTTAAACGCCGTTTAAAGACTTGATCTAAGGCCCATTTTCATCAGAAACAAGCGAAACGCAGTTTGGCGAAACTAAGTTTATTTAAACGCCGAAATTAAACGCGTTTAACGACGGACCGTTTTCACCAGCGTTTCGGTACGTTTCACAAACTGGGTTTATTGAAACGGTTTAAGAAACTGGAAACACTGGCATCGTTGCAAAAGTGAGAAATATTACGATTCTCGTCGCAAAATCATCTTATCAAGGAACTATTTGGGTCCATGATGTCAATAACCCGTTATCAAACTCAAACTTTCTGCTCGAACTAACCGTCAAATTTTAAAGTTTGCTTTGTTTATGCATGGTTTGTGCATTCGTGTATGGCTTATGACTGGTATACACGTTTTTATTAGATTTTCTAGTTGAAAAGTTACTTAAACAAGTAGAAAATTAAGTCATGCGGACGCCCTTTCAGAAATTTGCATGCATTCTGTGACGTAAAACCGCAAAGCACCGAGAAGTTGACAGACAAAGTACATAAGTAACATTAAAATATTCGTAGACTTCTTCGAAAATTAAGTTATAAACTGGCCTACGTGCCATTTCTATTTTATTATTTTTCGGTCGACCGACAACAGCAATTCTTTACACAGTGAGGTTAGATCAAGTCTTTAAACGGCGTTTAAAGCTATAAACGCCCAAAATCGGCCAGTTCGTTTCTTTACACGCATTTAAGCACAAACTAAGTTTAAGGTTCTGGTGAAATCCGTTTCGCGCGTCAAACTGAGTTTCAGACGTTAAACTGGTTTAAGATCGCTTGATGAAAATGGGCCTTAGGCGCACGGCCCCCATAGAACAATGCTTATATATTATAGGCTTTTATATTACTTATATTATAGGCTTTTTTTTGGATGACAGCGAATAATCAACATCGACAGACATCTTGTCCATGACAAACCCATAAACAGCAATGGGGAAGTTTTATTTGACTTTTGACTTACGTTATCGCATTCATCCACAGAATATTTTCCTACAATGGGTTATTTCATGATTTAATCTGTAGCTCTTTATCGTCTGTAGCGCCTCTGGCGACTATGAAATCAGTCGTTCTCGGTTAGGTTTTTAATGCCCACTTGCACCAAACTTCTTCTAAGCACGTCCTTACCTAAGTATACCTTGCAATTTAAGTCCGACTTAAGTTTCAATGAGTTGCACCATCCGTTTTTCACGTGTTCTTAGCTAAGCTTCAGGCAATAACCGGCAACTCTGTATTTTTCGTTCTGTTCTGCATGTCTGTGTCGTTTCTAACCGAAATTCGAGACCTTTTTAAAATTTTGTTTCTCTCATGGCTGCACAACAGAAAGGGTCTCCTAATTTTGGATTTCTGAAAGAGATACTCTTTTAGAGCTCGTTGCGTTTCATAAAGATCACCGAAAATAAAAAATATAATAATAACAATAAAAAAACCAGATGCTGTGTCTTCGCAAGAAAAGCAGTCAACATGGTAGAAAATGTCCGGCCAATTTAATGCTATTTGTTAAAACAATTAATAATTAATTTTTAAACAACAATTCCGCCTACGACCGCAATAATCAGGAAATTCTACAATACCCAAAAAGAAGACATCCGGAAGCACATTTCCAATCAGAATAAAAAACTTTATAAAACTGATGGCGGAGGAGTTGTGCCGTGCCTTCGGTTCCCAGGGG